AGCTAGAAAAAATGTTATGTAAAAAAATTTTGAAGCTGCTAAAAAATCATTATTATCATTTAGATCTAAGAAAGATTTACATCAAACAATAACCATTTATACACAAAATTTTCAAAAAAGGATTGGATCCATTTTTATGTTAGACATCTTCACAATTCTTCAACTTTATCATCAAAATGATATAAAACTAATGAATTAAAAGATGGAAAATGTGATTTGCGTCCATTTTATTTTGAAACAAAGAGAAAAGTGTAATAAATGGCTATCACAAAAGATAGATTATGATTGTAAATTTACATATATACAAAGATAAATGATTGGATATTTCATTGGGTATATAAAACACAGAAATAGGTTCGCAAAACACAAGCGAAAATTTATGTTATTTCAATTGACCTAGGAGTTTGTATTCCATTCACGTAATATTCCTCAATAAAAGGTGCAGGTAAAATAGGAGATGATATAGGACGTATTTTACGTTTATGTAAACATATGGATGATCTCATATCAAAAAAAGACAAACTGGCATCTTTAACTTCAAAAAGAAAGAAAGCTTTATGTGTTAGCAATGCTATCTTTCATATGCAAAAAAAGATCAAACAATTACAAAATGAGATTTATCAAAAAACAATCAAGTTTTTAACTGATGAATTTGATGTAATTATTATTCCCCCTTTTGAGGTTTCAAATATGATAAACAGAAAAACACGAAAAATAAGAAGGAAAACAGTTAGAAAGATGCTTTGTTGGTCTCATTACAAGTTTCGACAACATTTGATTTAAAAGCAGAAGAAAAAGGAAACTATGTGATAATTCAAAATGAAGCTTACACATCAAAGACATGTAGTTGGTGTGAAAATATTCAGAATATTGGAGGGTCAAAAACATATAAATGCAAAAATTGTAATATAAAAATAGATAGAGATATGGTGCTCGGGGAATTTTTCTCCGGAGATCATGCAGGAAATAATAGTAATACTTAGTATTACCTATTATTGATGTATTACAATCCATCCGTAAAGGTATGCGTTCTAAATATAAGAAAATCCAAATGAATTACATAATTCACCTCTTTGCTATGTCAAATGGTATCAATGACACCCGATTAATTTCCAGTTTTCGATTACGCGTAACAATTGACCATTTCTTGTATAAGCAATGCCAAATATTTAATGAGTGCTTAATGACAATTTAATGCTTAAAGAAAGGCCCCCAAAATTTCCTCAAATGATGCTTTCCTTTTTTTGGTGTCGAAAAGTAAAAACACTTTCCTTGTTAAGAAAAAGTGATTGTACATCGTTACACCGATTATTTTTTTGATATTTATAATTTCTCACAATTTATCAATTCCCAAAAAAAATATCTGCAAGTTCTTTATAATGGACATTCGTAACTATTTCTCTGCACCAAACACAACCAAAAAACTAGAAAAGAAAACCTCTGCAGAGAAACCTTCTAAAGATACTGCTATAAAGAAAAAGAAACCCAAGCGCCGCATTCCTGATTCGGACGACGAGCTCAGTGATCCCAATAAGGCATCAAAGTCAAATACTTCTACTCCATCACGTCAATCAACCCGGCTTGTTCAGAAAAAGATCAAGGTCAAAGATGAACCTAAAGTTAAGGTTGAAGACAAAGTTGAAGTTAAACCAAAGAGAAAGAGCAAGGTTAAAGACGAACCAAAATCAGCAAGCGAAAGTGAGGAGATTGTAAATAAGAAATCCGTGCGAAGTATTCGTTCTAAAACTACAAAATCCAATTCAAATGAGGTGGACGATGATGAAATATCTCCTTATAACAGTACTTCAGAAAACCTAGAGATATTTTCCTCACCTAGGAGTTCAACAAGAAAATCCACGCTTGTTGAAAGAAAAACACCCGAAACAACACCCAAAAAACGACAGTCTTTTGAAGCAAATATTTCTGATGATGACTACTTTCCACCTGAGGAAGAAGCTCTGCCTACCAAGAAAACGAAGCATGAACAAAAGAACGTTGAAGAGAAATCTCCTAGTAAACGCGCTATTAAATCACCACGGTCGAAGAAAGGAAAACCTCACGATGTGGATAATGACGATGAAATGAATATCGCTGAAACAACTGATCAAATTAAGAATAAAACGGGTCCAACGGCCTCTGAATCTAAAGAAATACCTCAAGGCGAAGATATGTGCTTATTTGGTAAAACCTTTGTTTTTACCGGTGATTTAGATACTTTGGACCGTGAGGAAGCTCAAGACATTGTCAAACGTAATGGAGGTCGTGTTACTTTACAGCCTAGTTCGAGAACTTCATATGTTGTTGTTGGAAAAGATCCAGGACCAAAAAAAATGGAAAAAGTTGAACAGTTCAAAATCCCTACTTTGAATGAGGAACAACTCCTAGAATTGATTAGAACATCCCCAAAAAAGTCTAGTTCTGATGTTGCTAGTATAAAGAAATCTCCAAAATCAAAGGCCCCTATTACGAAAATTTCCGAAGCGATTGCATCAGTCACTTCAACTGATGCAAATGGTACCCAATTGTGGACAGAAAAATATCGACCAAAACATCTCAGAGATTTTTGCGGTA